CGTACTTAAGTCACATCAGGCGGGAAAAGTCACATCATCCCCATGTCACAGCGGCGATACAGAAAAGTCACACCAGGGAAGAAGAATCACCATGGCACAGCCTGTTTCATCTGTAATGATACATATGCCTAAAAGTGGCCGAAGCATTGCGCACAGCAGGGAAAATGACAGATATTTTGCTGAAAAGGCTCATATTTGCAGAGAAACCTAATGGAATGGTTGGAAGACAGTTGGTACCCATATCATCCCGTCAGATTGAAATCCTACTGGCACAGCGCCCATTTGGTACATGCACTGACATGACCTTTGAAGGAAAATACCATGGCATACCATGGCACAGCCTGTTTCATCTATAATTGGAGATTTACTTAAAAGTAGCCGAAGCATTGCGCACCGTGGCGCTTTTGAAGGGTACAAGTCAATACAAACAAATTCTTGGCAGCAAACCCTAGTGGCATGGATATATTATATTGGTGTCCTGCTTCGCGTGGCCAAATCAAACCCCTATATTGGTGCTCTGCTTCGCGTGACCAAATTAAAACCCTATTGGTACGGCCTCAAATTTCTTGCAATGCAAATGGGTTAGTTGTAGCAGGCATTCCAATTTGCAGGGCTATGATATAGGGACATAGGGGCCCCTTGTTTCCCGCAGCCAAATTCTATGGCTGGCGCAATGTGCATCAAGGTCGTGGACAGCTCTCGAGAAGTTTGTTATCCTATCCACCCAGCGATTACGAGTTGGAGTAAAACCTTTTATTCCAACCAGCCAGAAACATACACATTCCATCTCTCCAGCGCCAAACAAGGCGACCGAGACTGTTATGTTCTTTTTCGGAAAAAATGGTTTGCATCAGGAAGCAGCAACAGTAGCAGCAAGCAAGCGGCAGGCAAACAGCAGCAGGCAAGAAGTAGCAGGCAAGCATCCAGCAGGCAAGCAAGCAGCAGGCAAGCAAGCAGCAGGCGAGAAGCAGCAGGCAAGCAAGCAGCAAGCAAGCAAGCAGCAAGCAAGCAGCAGGCAAGCAAGCAGCAAGCAAGCAAGCAAGCAGCAAGCAAGCAAGCAGCAAGCAAGCAAGCAAGCAGCAAGCAAGCAAGCAGCAGGCAAGCAAGCAGCAAGCAAGCAGCAGCAAGCAAGCAGCAGGCAAGCAAGCAGCAGCAAGCAAGCAGCAGCAACCAGAGTATGCCCCTTGAATGAATAATTAAAAATAAGTTATAAGTACTAAACATGGCTGCAATACAAAAAATGTGTTTTTTCAGGTGCACGGCTCCAAAACAATGCAAAAAACCAGTTATATACTAAAAGCTGTGGTGATACCAAAATTAAGCTTTTTGCAGGCGCACGGCCTCCCGATACGACTTTAACGAGCTGATACGACTTAACCCTAGCGCTTGTACTAGTAGCAATCCGCCGGCATGCCTGGCGTGTCTGATTGTGAGGTGTTGTTCTTGTTTCTGTTCTTGTTTTGTACTTGTTTCTGTTCTTGGCTTGTACTTGTTCCTTTGTTCTCTTCCCGCGCGTTTTTGCTTCGTCTGAATCAACCCCTCCCCCTCCCCCTCCCCCTCCCTACTACTACTAGTAGTACTACTACTACTAGTAGTACTACTACTACTAGTAGTACTACTACTACTAGTAGTAGTACTACTACTACTACTACTACTACTACTACTGATACTACTACTACTAATACCATTACTGCCACTACTGCCACTACTGCCACTACTGCCACTACTGCCACTGGTACTGCCACTACTGCCACTACTGCCACTGGTACTACTACCACTCCTACTCCCACTCCTACTCCCACTCCTACTCCCACTCCTACTCCCACTCCTACGCCTCCTCCGACGCCTACTCCGACTTCGACTCGTCAGAAGTTTACGCACAGAAGCTTTTACACACAGAAGCTTTTACACACAGAGCCTTTTACACACAGAAGCTTTTACACACAGAAGCTTTTACACACCGCAGCTTTGACGCACAGATGCTTTTACACACAGAAGCTTTTACACACCCCAGCTTTGATGCACAGAAGCTTTTACACACCGCAGCTTTGACGCACGGATGCTTTTACACACACCGAAGCTTTTACACACCGCAGCTTTGACGCACAGATGCTTTTACACACAGAAGCTTTTACACACCGCAGCTTTGACGCACGGATGCTTTTACACACACCGAAGCTTTTACACACCGCAGCTTTGACGCACAGATGCTTTTACACAGAAGCTTTTACACACCGCAGCTTTGACGCACAGATGCTTTTACACACACACACACAGAAGCTTTTACACACAGAAGCTTTCACGCACAGAAGCTTTTACACAACGCAGCTTTGACGCACAGATGCTTTTACACACAGAAGCTTTTACACACCGCAGCTTTGACGCACAGATGCTTTTACACACACACAGAAGCTTTTACACAGGCAGCTTTTACGCACAGAAGCTTTTACACACCGCAGCTTTGACGCACAGATGCTTTTTTACACACACACACACACACTGGCCTTGTTTTTGTCCAGGCCACGATCTGCGACTATGCCGAAGGCTCATATAAAATGTCTCTATGCACCAAATGGCTCTATGCACCAAATGGCTATGGCCGGCGGGCTTGCCGCAGGCAATTAAATATTGGAATTTTAGCTTCTGATCCTTGAAAAATCTTGAAAATCAACAGGTTGGCCCAACCTACAAAAAGAACAGAAATCCAAAAATGAAATTTCAATATAAGTCCCCCCCCTCCCTTTCAACATGTTGTACCAAATCTCAAAACTGCTTAAATCCGTTTATTCCCTCGTACCCCCTTAATCCCCCTGGAATTCCCAACCCTCGCCCTGCATTTTGGCGTGGGCCTGAGCGAAACGAGATGTTGGTGTATATTGTATTAAACCCTATATGCATTTATTTACATATTTAAGCTCGTCAACTTATCTATGTGGTATCAATTCATATCAAAATTAAACCTTTTTTTTTTCCTCATCAATTGTTCTTCGAATATATGTGTTGCATTCAGAAAATTCGAGCATATTTGATTTTGCCTTGAATGAGTTCAACGCAAATTGACATCCTGTGAAATTCCAACAGCATGCTTTCTAGCAGTTGTATTCTTCCAAGATGCCAAACAAGCTCTGATCAAATCCAAGTCAATAGTGAGCTCGCGCACTCGATTGAATTTTGCAACCAAACCTCATGCATTGTGAAACATGTACCATTAGAATGTAGATTGAGCGAAACAGACATGACGCAGAGCAATGATGGTGGCAAGTGATTGTTGGAACCGGTCGTTGCACACTGTGGCAGTACCCCCCAAAACGGCTGTGGGTCTGTCTGAAAATAGGGTACCCCAAAATCCCAGGGCGAATTATAATGAATTATATAATTATATATAATGTCCCTTAATGGCCCCACTTTTAGACAAGCATCGCAAGGGGGTCCATCCTTCCTCATCTGCCTGTGATAGAAGAAAGTTGTCCTTCGGGTAATTCACATCCTTGGTAGTCAAGACAATTTTTACACGACAGGGGTCTCTACCAACTGTTTTTGGTCTGATGTATATTCTCTACCTATAGATTTGAAATCGGGATGTGGCCAAACTTTGCGCAGCGAATGGTAATTAATTGTTTGTGACAATCCCAGAAGTTCATCTGGAGCCTTTGGATTGAGATTGCCATGATCCTAAAACCTTAAACCCTACTTAAACAAGATAGCCAACCGATTGCTTTTTGCCTCCTCAGGCTGAGTGAGGGTTTTTCTACCTGAGACCCCGCTTAGAGATCACCTCTACTCCGCAGCCCGCTTCCACCTGCGTTTCCTGTCTCTGCCCCGCAGCCCGCTTAGAAGGTATAGTGAAAAATGTGAAGGAGTCACTACCCCGGACCCCGCTTCTAGCAAATTCTACACGGCACCCCGCTTTCAAACATATTCCCCGGAGCCCGCTTAGAAATTTAAGACTGTCAGCAGCTGTTTTTTTTTCCGTTTTTTTTGCGTTTTTTTGGCCTCCTCACTGACTGATTCCAGTTTCGTTCCCTTTGACATTTTTCCATTTGAAATTGTTTGCAGCTGATAAGCAGCAACCCCGTTGGCCAAGTGGTTAACGAGCTGTTGCCCATCTCCGCACATTCTGGCGGAAATCATCCCCCAACCCAACCCCGCTTCCCCCCAACCCTGCTTCTTCGGTTGCCCAAACTTGAGGAGTGCTGCCAACAGTTTTGATCATGTAAATCAGATGAAACCAGTATAAATGCACTGCAAGCTGCACCAAAGTAGAACTCAAATTGACCTTGGCTGCAGAAGTCGGTGAATCATAAGCTGACATGGAAAAAGACAATCATCGCAGATGATGCAGCTGAGTTGTTCACGTCGAATGGCGCATTCCAATTGTTCAGCCTGTACTCCATCAGTTCCATGTTCCAGCATTTCAGATGTAATGTTAAATATGTTAAATGTAAGGTTAAAAGGTGTGTGATTTCTGTAGGTCCCTCGTGAAGGTTACATTCCAGCTGCCTTGCGCTTGTCCAGAGGGACAGAGGTGATCCTGCAAATTGGTTGATGATTTGTTCAGGGGTCCCAAAAGGTTGGGGCTGATCATAATCCACTATGGAATCCCTACCAACCAGTGTAATTAAGTATAAGAATGTATACGGGAAGTTTCAGTTGGTTTTGGACACTGCCCAGCTCCATTTACGGGTCCTTGACCGCGCTTCCGAGCATACCCTTTGCGCAGAGCCTTGCTCCTTTTTCGGCTGCTCTGCCTGCATGCTCTGCAGTTCAATATCAGCTTAGATGAAATGAGATGACAGTAGAGTAGATGTGGCTGTCCAGCATCCCAGCCTGGGGTGTGACAGGAGGGTCCACATTCAGAGCTGTTCCAAGACGAACATCATGGAGAAATCCCACTGGCATGCTCCACACTGCGCTGTTGGAGCCCTGGAGTGTGACCTGTTAAATTCAACATGGTTCAACAAACTGCAAAAATCTTCACAAAATCTCCAAGGTGCTATTTCAGCCTTGGCCCTGCAGTGAACCTTCTACAACCATCCCTAAATATTAGAGATGCTATACCAGGATGAATTTTCATAGCTAGATGACTATGGATTCGCAGTAACTGACTGTGGTTAATGGATGTTTATTCCCCCAAATATGGTCCATCAGCTTCCCCATGCCTGCGAAACGCCAGCAGCCATGCCAGCACCAACACATTGGGCCACCTGGCAGCGGATGCCAGTTGTGAGGCTATAGGTCAAGTTATTGGGGTAGCACTGGACCCACAACTAGATTGGTGTTAAGGTTGTAAATTTCTTTGGTGTTAATATGAAACAACCAATTAATACTATAATTATACTAAATATTGGTGTACATATGTGGACTAAACAACTATCATCAAATATTGAAACATATTGAAACATACTAAGCATGATCAAACCATCCATCTTGGGCAATCACTTTGACCCATGTGATGTTTGTTCCACACCTGGAAGTCTGTCAGCCCATCGCCATCCAACAGGCGGTACCGAATCACCTGGGGCGTGTCATCAGTTTGCTGCGAATTGCTGGATATCTCACAGTTAAAAACGTATCAAAATCTCTTCAAAATACATTAAAACATCAAAATACCAGTTTCTTTACCCGAGTCCCTCTTAGAACAATCATTAAATTACTAAACTTGGATCAAGCTACAGGAAGCTCACGAACGACTTGGCGGGTGAAAGATTCCCAAACTGGCACGGAGCCTCCCCTGGCAGAGGTTTTCTTCCGATTGGCCTGTCAGCAACAGATTCCAAAAGACAACATCTAAGTTTGAGAAGACAACATCTAATTTGCACCGGTCTTCCATATCTTCCATATTATATTTAGTAAATTTTAGTAATATGAGAAGACCATTTCACTTATTTCAATATATTTCAATAAAGACTGCATCGACTATTGTGGAGCTGTTGCAATGCAACAATGTCATTCCCCATCATTCCCCCAGTTATTGCACTGGCCTCCACTGATGTCCAGAAGTATCATCTTCTGCAGGCGCCTGATATGGAATGTCAGGCACACCCGTTCCTCTTGCTGGCCAAAAAGGGTTGAGTGGAATTGGAATTGGAAGTAGATGTGCTTTGTCACACAGCTTTGGGATCTGAGATCTATTTCCTTCTATCTCTGATCTTCCTTGGCTCATTTAGACTGCCAGCTTCCTCCAGATCTCACCTCAGCGAGAGCTTTATTTTGGAGGTTCTCATGGGCAGTCGATCTTGGCTCAATGCTGGAAGGTGCCTCAGATACTTCCGATATCTCCCGATACTTGTTGAGAAACTGAAGGCTCCTTTTTTGCAATGCATGATCCAACACGTCTCTGTGTCATGAACATGTATTTCCATGGAACTGTAGATTTTGGTCGATCTCTTCTCTTCCATTGCAAAAGTATCCTCAGCTCTCCACAGGAAGGTTGGCATCGGTATCCGCAATGTGTGCTGGAAGAGCCTTCTGAGCCTTGTAGCCTTTCTGTCTGGACCTGCTCAGACACTGAAATCAGTCCAACACCAACTTCTGATCGAGGTTGGTGCCTCTGCTGTGCAGGTCGGACCCAGAGCATATCTCCATCCCGCAAAACGTCCTGCCAAACTCATGCACCGTCCCAAAGCCGAAAGGGCAGCAAGCTACACTATACAAAAGAATGCAAAAGATTGATAAAAACGGGAACTCGCTCGCAACAGAAACCGATCCGCGGTAAACAGCTTCGAGCACTACGAGTACCTGTCACTGACATCTGCGCAGTCCTCCAAACGCTGGGCTGGCAGTAGGCCGAAGCCTGTGGCCGTGCATTGGGAGATGTGTCAAAAGTACTCATGGTTTCATCCATGTTTTTCATCAACCCTACAACTCGAACCCTTGAAATCTTGCTCGTACCAGCTTGGCCCACAAACACACGCTGAGGCATACGGCAGAACAGCATGAAATCGCTTACGATTGTCACACCTTCAACCGAGATCGCCAATGGTTTGATCGGTTCCAGCTTAAAATAGCCTCAGTTTCTTCTCACACATCACTTTCTGCCAAAACGACACTGAAATACACCCCACAATCCCCAAGCATGTGAGAAAACGAGTTTTTTTCACTGATTTGCCATGCTTGGGTTCTCGGCCTATGCTCATTGTTTTCTGATGTTCTTGCACGGGCAGCTTTTGATTTGGCCTTGTCATTTTGGGGCCCTTGAATGCCCATTTTGTGACTGCCTATTTCTTCGCTGTTGGATTTTGTGTGTAATGTGCTATTTTTGCTTGTTTTTTTTTCCTGGACGGATTTTTGTCATGTGTTTTGCTGCAGTTGATTGTTCTTTATCCCAAGAAACAAGCGCAATGTGCCACGAAGATCCACAAAGTCCACAGGCTGGTAGCTTAATGCAGCAGAATTGCGGTAAATGTAGTGCATCAAATCGGAAACCAGGCTGAGACCTGCTTGTTACTCTAGCCAGCAAATGCAAGGAGTGTTACTCTCAAAACACATCAAAACGCTGAGAACCATTTGCGCTCCGAATCATGGCCTGCTGGAACTGCCAAAATCACCTTCCTGGTACAGGCGCAAGGCACTTCTCACAAGTTTGCCATTCTGGAAGCCCACCCTTTGCCTGCACAGCATACCATCGTTGCATTCTGCTGCCAGTTGAAGTCTTAGTCGCAGAAGGCTCCTTGTAATTGACGCAGAAAAAGAAATGAACATGAAGTCAATGAAGTCAATGGTTCGGGATCACCCTCCCACTCCACCCAGTCCTTCTGTCAACAGGACAAAGTGCAAGTTCCATGCGAAATAAATGCTTTTGTGACAAAGTCGTCCTGATGTCCGGGAGTAGGTCATATTCATATAGGAATGTATACAGCACCCATTGTACAGTACCAACAATACCAAAGATTGAAGATTCTCTTTGTGGGCAGCTGTAATTCGCAGAATGTCAAGCAACGCTTTGCCGAATGAAAAGGTAGCATTGTCATCGAAGAAATTATCCATCATAGTGATCCTAGAGAATGCTGGTTGAAATTGGTGGATTTGGTACAGCAGGACCAATGCATTGCAAGGTAATGGCTGCGGATGTGACAGAGTCTAACAATTCGAATGACAGCGAGAACAAAAACTCAGCGAGTGAACTTTACTTTTGCTTGGTCTTGGATAGTTCATGCATGCGGTGCTGTCGCATGGATCTGAGCTCTTTCTAACCAACTTCAGATGACCAAGCACTTATTTTTGGTCTGTGGCCTGTGTCCACTGCTCTTCAAACTCTTCACAAAGAAGCCTTCGCCTCTCAGGGCCTTGATGCCACGCAGCCAATTTCATCAATTTGAAAGCTGTGCCGAATTCTTCAACAAACATAAATAAAATCAATATCATAGTCATAGTCTTCCCTCAAAGACTTTTCCCCAAAGGCACTATATTAGAGTTTCCAGCTTTGTCTTAACGAATCTAAATGATGTGAGCCCAATGTGAGCTGTGTTCGTATCTCAAGACACAGGATGTTTTGGCCAACGTGAGCCCAGGGCCGACGGCTGCCGTCAGAGTACGCAGCAAGATTCCGTCCTCTGCCGCTGCACAGCCACTCCAGGTGTCCATGCAAAGCGTCCAAAAAACAATCAAAACATATCAAAACCAAATAAATGTGGTAAACCCAAGAATAAAATAGAATAAACCATCCTCAATATTACATAATATTACCATAGATAGGTCTCAAGCGCTTTTACTCACTGTTTTTCTCTCCAGGCAGGGTAGCGGCCGGGGCGTCTGGACTTTGAGCACCGCATGGTACGACGTGGCCCCTAGCATGGTTTTCACCAATGCTTACCCTGGCTTTAAGCCAAAATGTAACTCACGAGATTCCATCGCGCAAATAAGTGAACGATATGTATGATGCAATCACAAATCAGGATGAAAGAAGCAAACCCAGCAAAGTGGGACAATTCAACTGGGCCGAGCATTCAGCTGATGACTCATGCCAAACAAATCGTCAACTAGCAGTGGATATCTCTGCACCAAATTTCCTTAAACAAACCAAATTGACAACACCTTCAGTGCTCACAAAATGGCCGTCGCACTAAAAGGTTCGTGCAAGGAAAAGGGGTTGAAGCATTGTGGCCACTGAACAAAAGGCTTCTACTTTGCAACTGCTTCCAGCCAAATCCGTAATCCAAAAGAGGACGTCTCATCAGAAAACCGGTGCATGCTGCAGATAAACACAGCGCTCTAGCCATATAGCCCGCATCATAGCCAAAGGTGTTGGCCAGAATAGCATTAGTCACTGGGTAATCAAAAGCAATGGTTTTCAGAGCAGAGAGGTATGGAATGGGCCAGATCTGACCAAGGGCCCCTGTGCTACACTGCGAAGCTCCGAAAGAAACTCCACAGATAAATGCACAACAACCTGTGGCAGAAACTATGAAGACGCCCACCCATGATCCAAAAAACGGAAGGGATGGTGGCAAAGGAAGATCGCTCCTTGCAGTATTTCGCCCTTCACACAGCCCCGCAGCATCATCCCCTCAAGCAGTTGAAAATTCAGCAATCGCATTCTTCAAGCCCTGCACGAGCTTGTGCGCCATTGCAGGTTTCGATCTGGGAGCCCCACCGCGGCGGCACACCTTTCTGTAAAGCTCTTTCAGCACACTTTCCTCCTCACTGGCCAGAGTTTCCTCAAGCTCCAGCCATGTCATGTCTTTTTGACTTTCTCATACCCATCCAGTGTGTGAAAAACTGCCATGCGATCAGGTGGTGTGAGCTGATCTTTGGTGTCTCCCAGTGCCACAGACCCATCTGGCATGTGCTGCGTGGAACCGGCTTTCAAAGGCGCACTCCTCACCCCTTCTGCAGCAATAGCACGTACTTCGGCCAAGAGAGCTTCTTTTTGAGCTTGAGCATCCCTGTCTGCCTTTTCTTTGCGGAGTGCTTCAAGCTCAGCTTGCAATCTGGAGTCCATAGCACTACTTTGGGGTAGATCCTTCCGGCTACGGCGGTTCTTGACTGATGGTGAAGAAGAACTGGATGATGATGACATGGATCTGTTGCGTCGCCGCTTCTTGTCCTTTTTGCTCTTCCTGTCTTTTCGTGAGCTGCTGCGCCCAACATGATCAACCTCAATGCGGACAGTCTGCGGCTGGAAGGGAGGGCGCTGAGACCCATCGCTCCAGTTTTGCCATCTTCCACCATTGGAGTTGCTGCCATACGATCGCTGGGACCAACCCTTACCACTATAGCCCCAGCCAGCATGCGCAAGCCACAACTGCAGGAAGAGGAGGGTCAAAACAAACTTCACCATGGCTGCTCAAAAGCTGTGCACAATTCCGCAAAGCCTATTGAGTAAGAGCAGCTCCGTCGCCACATATGTCCCTACTCTACTCATGTCTTTGAACATTTGGGCACAAACCACTGTTTTCATAAAAGCAATTTCTTCGTGAACCGAACTCTTGTACATGCTGAAAACCAAATTTCTCAAACGCCTTCGTCCAACATGTTGCCGTAAAAGGCAAACCATTTGAAAGCACAAATCTTCCTGCCACACTATTTCAGTCAGTTGCAGCTGCTGATATCTGGAAAGCTTTGCCCAAAACAAATTTCGTAGTCTTTGTTGGGTAACATCCCAGGGTGGAGGAATCCGGAAAGGTGTGCTCTTCAAACCTAGGCAAATAGTGTCTAAGTTGATTTCCATGTCCAGCCATGTCAAAGTGCGAGAGTTGGGGCCAGGGTCAAAGGGAACCTTGTAGATAAAGGCAGGAAGCGCACATAGACAGTCATAGCACCATGCACGTGAGAGAATAAGTAGATCATCAATGTATCTATACAAACAAGCAAGTTAGCCCATCGCACCCCAGGTATAAAGAAACCAGATTGCCGTTGAGAAGATACAGATGAAGTCCATGCACTCTCATCACACGCAAGTACATATCCAGAGGCCACGCGGCTGAGTAAGCCCCCAATCGGGAGACCGCTGAGTCTGAAAACCATGTTACCCACATAACAAAAACAAACCATGACAGAAGCCCAAAAACATTGGAGGAGGTCATCAAAGCAAAAGGTCACAGATTTTGGTCGAAAAAGGCCAGCAGTGCCACCGAGGAACCCGTGAACTTTTCGAGTCTTGAGAACTGTCACAGTGTTCTGACCAGTACGCGCAGAAACATCATGCATAATCTCCCGAACAGAAGCCAAGGCATCATGGGGTTTCACCATTTCAAAGAATTGACCGGCATCACAAACAACCCCATTCAAGTCACGCTTGAGATGCCCACACCGCTGGCAAGTGTTGCAACATTGCCCAGGTTGCAATCCATGGATATCAGCAAGCAAATTGGTCGATGCACAGGACATGTCACGTACTTCGAATCCTTTACCAGAGGCTCTAAGGATGACATCCAAGCCGCGTCCAACAAACCGCCAATTCCTCCTGGCAGGCCACCTACAGTAAGAAATGACTTTGCGGCAGCATGAATGCCATAGTTTCCTACACACCCGGCCAGTACCGCCATAGCATTTTGACTTCACTGTCACATACACATATGGAAGCCACATGATATCAGCATCAAGCTGCAGCCACCTGTGCAAACCCTCCGGGACAATGCGAAGTAAAGTCAAAGCAGTGATGACATTAGCTTCCTGGACAGAAAGAGGACACTGCTTCCATGTAGGCGCCAGGATGGCATACATCAGCAACATAGTAACATAGCAAGCAGGAGGTATCAACCACATGCAAGCACGGTCCTTGTCATCTGGGACCCGCACCAAGGAATCATCACAACGCATGTCATGAGTGTATGTAGCAAACTCAACATGGGACATGTCAAGGCGACTGGCCGCTAAGGTATATGCACGAGATGAAAACAACTCGCGTTGTGCCTTTGCAGTTGGACACTTGCAGCGACCCAGCCCTGACCAGCAACTCCAATTGTTAAGCAAGCCAACAATATCATGGCAAATTTCATGTACCGTACGCCGCTTAGCAGTGTCAATATGAGCTTCAACCTTCTTCATATTAAACCCAGACAGGCCAGCTGCCAGGGTGGCATCATCAAAATCAAGTGCGCTCCGGACATCTGCCTTGCGGGCAAACTGTGCATGCGACAGATCATCACGGAAAGTGCGCCGGCGACCCACGACCACACGCGTTTTCTTCAAGACCCATGTGCAAACGGATTTCGACCATTTCTTGCAGTTGCGCGCCATGGAAAAGGTAAGTCTACGAACAACACCAACTAAGTACTTCTCAGGCACCGTCATAGTGTACAATGCTTTGCTGGGGAGCCCTTCGAGACGCAAGATTTGCCGCACAGCTGCAAAAGCCAACCGTCTCCTCCCAGGAGCATCAATGTTTTTGCAAAGGCCGTCCAAAACCACACCAACCGAGTCACATGCCCAAGCGCGACGCAAACGACACAAGTCAAGTCGGCAAGACTTGCAAGACAGCCAAAGTGCCACAAGTCGACGCTGGCCACGCTCGTACAAATTGACAGGGCCAAACTGGCCAAAAGCTAGCCAAAAAATCTTCTGTTGGAACCTATAAGCCTCATGGAAAGACATGGACCAAAGAAAGGCACAACCATCATGTTGTTGTTGTCGCTGTCGTCCCCACAATAGTCTTTCAGCACGAGCCAACATGTTTTTCCACACAACACCGGACCATATAGATCCAACAGAAGGCACTCCAGGAGTAAGCCCTTTCTGACGGAGGCGGATAAATTTTGGAGGCCTCTTCCTACGCCTAGGAAACTTCACGCCGCAATGTTTGGGAGCTGCAGGTACAAAGTTCGCATTGGGTCGAAAAGACTGTATAAGCAAACTTTCGGCAGCGCGTATCATGGGTTCTTCACCACAATGTACCGGAAACCACAACGTCTTCCAGAGCGGCATCCGCCTGGCCAACTTGTATCTCAAAAAGCGCGCATGAGGGGCATGCTGCCGACGACAAAGGACCAAATGCTCAAACAAACGCTGGACCGGTCCAACATGTTCAGAACCTGTACGATGCAATCTAGCTATCCCAATGTATTGAAAACTCCTTGCAAACCAAAGATACAAGCAAAAGCCACGATCCAAGTATGTAGGAAAAAATCTCCCGGTACCATGCAACCAGCTCCAAAGCATAATGAGTATCACCTATCAAAGCCATTTGTACATTCACAGTAAGCAGGGGCCACATACTTTTGGCCACCCTGCAATGCAAGTTTGCATGAAACCAAACCAATGTCTTTGCTACGAAAAGAATTGCAGCCAATCGTTCTAGCACTGCCACCTTTCGCTTCCACCGCATATGTGGGGGGATTAGGAAACCAAGCAAAAGTTCCAAACAACAGTCACAACATTTCAAAAACTTGGCACAATTCCCCGTGAAGCTTAAGCAGTTGAGGACCTCAAGCCAAACAAGGTCACAGACACGGCGGCAAAGATCTTCCAGCATCTGCTGCTCAAAGTGTATGTACAGATCAGGCCAGTCCCACTGAAAAGGCTTGCTCACTGCCGAGGTCACATTGACAGCAACCAAATACATGATGAATCCGGAGGATGCATGTACATACCATGTAGGGCCATACTTGTTAGTCACATTCTTGATCAAGGCAACCATTTTCTCAAAGAATACGCTGGAAAATGAATATGAAGATAAAGGACACGGAATATGGAAGAGAGGAAGCAAGCGAGCCAGAAAAAACCAGTATACTTGCACCACTCAGACTTCTCCAGCACCCGTAGCAAGGAGTCCAAACTCCCGACCGGTTTGTGCCAGGGATGCACTGTCTCAAGCGCTTTTACTCACTGTTTTTCTCTCCAGGCAGGGTAGCGGCCGGGGCGTCTGGACTTTGAGCACCGCATGGTACGACGTGGCCCCTAGCATGGTTTTCACCAATGCTTACCCTGGCTTTAAGCCAAAATGTAATTCACGAGATTCCATCGCGCAAATAAGTGAACGATATGTATGATGCAATCACAAATCAGGATGAAAGAAGCAAACCCAGCAAAGTGGGACAATTCAACTGGGCCGAGCATTCAGCTGATGACTCATGCCAAACAAATCGTCAACTAGCAGTGGATATCTCTGCACCAAATTTCTTTAAACAAACCAAATTGACAACACCTTCAGTGCTCACAAAATGGCCGTCGCACTAAAAGGTTCGTGCAAGGAAAAGGGGTTGAAGCATTGTGGCCACTGAACAAAAGGCTTCTACTTTGCAACTGCTTCCAGCCAAATCCGTAATCCAAAAGAGGACGTCTCATCAGAAAACCGGTGCATGCTGCAGATAAACACAGCGCTCTAGCCATATAGCCCGCATCATAGCCAAAGGTGTTGGCCAGAATAGCATTAGTCACTGGGTAATCAAAAGCAATGGTTTTCAGAGCAGAGAGGTATGGAATGGGCCAGATCTGACCAAGGGCCCCTGTGCTACACTGCGAAGCTCCGAAAGAAACTCCACAGATAAATGCACAACAACCTGTGGCAGAAACTATGAAGACGCCCACCCATGATCCAAAAAACGGAAGGGATGGTGGCAAAGGAAGATCGCTCCTTGCAGTATTTCGCCCTTCACACAGCCCCGCAGCATCATCCCCTCAAGCAGTTGAAAATTCAGCAATCGCATTCTTCAAGCCCTGCACGAGCTTGTGCGCCATTGCAGGTTTCGATCTGGGAGCCCCACCGCGGCGGCACACCTTTCTGTAAAGCTCTTTCAGCACACTTTCCTCCTCACTGGCCAGAGTTTCCTCAAGCTCCAGCCATGTCATCGTCTTTTTGACTTTCTCATACCCATCCAGTGTGTGAAAAACTGCCATGCGATCAGGTGGTGTGAGCTGATCTTTGGTGTCTCCCAGTGCCACAGACCCATCTGGCATGTGCTGCGTGGAACCGGCTTTCAAAGGCGCACTCCTCACCCCTTCTGCAGCAATAGCACGTACTTCGGCCAAGAGAGCTTCTTTTTGAGCTTGAGCATCCCTGTCTGCCTTTTCTTTGCGGAGTGCTTCAAGCTCAGCTTGCAATCTGGAGTCCATAGCACTACTTTGGGGTAGATCCTTCCGGCTACGGCGGTTCTTGACTGATGGTGAAGAAGAACTGGATGATGATGACATGGATCTGTTGCGTCGCCGCTTCTTGTCCTTTTTGCTCTTCCTGTCTTTTCGTGAGCTGCTGCGCCCAACATGATCAACCATAGATAGGTGATAATTACTATTTTTATATATTTTTATTATCCCTAAATGGTAAGTTTCCTACTGGGTTTACCACATTCATTTGGAATCATAAGCTGCGTTGAGTAGGCTGCTGGTTTGAGTCCACTTTCAGCAAACTGACGGAATAGTTGCTCTGCCTTTGTGCCTCACAGAATGAGGAATGGCAACTGCCGCCAGCGAACTGTGTGACTCCAATTGCTGTATTAGTTTTCAGATCTGACCTCGAGAATTGCTAAAGTCACCAACACTGACTACTGCACCATTCTCAATGCTTCCATTCAAACTTGCGGCTCAACAATTACGCAATGATGTTCAAGCATGCTGCTTGGAGATCCTAATATCATGCTTTCCCTGAAAAAACGGCCAAGGCCCGGTCTTGCCCTTGGGCTAGCAGCTGCGCATGCACCGATTGCACAATTCCAGGAAATCATGTCTGGCTGCCTAGATGGAAAGGCACGCGCTGAGAACCCAAGGCCCAGTGTTATGAAAAAAACGGGACATGTTGAACTCATGTCATCAGTGTGAAAAGAACGCTTGCTTTAAATGATCGCCCTGCATATGACTAATGTGGTAACAAGTCGCCCTGCATACCATGGTAAGACATGCTGAAAAATAATCATAGCGAAGTGTGATGAAGTTTGATGGAGTTGGATGAAGTTTGGATGACGGCTGATGACGTAAGCTTGGCACAGAGAGTTGTCGTCAATCTCTTGAAGCCATTGGAGAGCCGCAGCCACATCCTGCGCATCTTACGTCTGACGTGCAGCACGGGGCGACGCAGACGGCGCAGATATTGAGCCTGGCTGAGTCCCAGGCTCCTGCCTTCCGGCACGCTTTCAGCATGGTGTTGTATGACACCTGCACCATCACTTCCGTCTCGAAATTGGGTCATACTCCCAAAAAATAACCTCTTTAATCTTTATTCTTTAATATCGTTTTAATGGAGAATATATGAGAATATGATGATGTATCATTGGGTTTGCGGGCCCACGCAGATGTGTTCTTTCCAACCATTCATTCCAGCACTTCTGTTTCTCACAGCTCTGTGGCTTGTGGCTGAGTTTCGCACCAAATTTGGCCGAACTCCCCCCTCTTTCATCTTTTCCAAAATGGAGACAGCCTCCCCCAAATCCTTGTGATGCGTGATTCTATACTAAATCCTGGTTCAGAAGCGAAGGTCTAAAGAGTTTCTCAAACTTTGTAAGTAATTACAGAGATAATATATTGAGATAGTATTGAGCATGGGCATAAACCAGCATGAACTAATATGAACTAGCATAAATTGGTGTTTTCTCTGAATTTCCTGTTTCAACCTGAGGCCTTTGACCCCACGCTGTGCGCAGCCAGCGAGGAAGGCATTGTAGCAGGTGGCATCCGGAACCTTAGCTTAGGGGATCCCAAATCCAAACAGTTATGGAGGTATGGCCATTAAATCATAAAAATATGGGAACATGACCATGAATGAGCATGATTGTTAACCATCAAAGAACGGGGGGGTATCTGGGGGTAGTCTATTTTCAGACATCACAGATACTCATGACAATTCACCTGCAGAGAAATCATGACATCTTCTAACTCTTGGTGCGGAACCAAACCAAATGACTTTGCCATTTCAAGGTGCTGAGCAGCCTTGGCTAGAAAGGGTAAACCTCTGGCCTGCTGGCAATGTGGGTGTGTGAAAAAATTGGTTTGCCTCAAAATGGTACTTTGAACATGATTTGAATAGGAATAAATATCCATCAACATTCAACATGGATAAACCAGAATCAACCGTAATCAACCATTCAATTTTGGGGATACCTGGTACCTCATTTTCAAACACACCGATGTGCTGTTGCCATGGCCGTTCCCTGCTAGCTCGCAGTCTCAGCTCAACACCTTCGCCATCTCGCCTTTCCTCACGCAGCCGCTGATGAGGGTGGTAAAGGCCACCATGTCCGGGGTGGCGCCTGCGCCGGAAGGGTTTTGGTGGCGCTGGGTGGTCCAAAACCACCAAACTTCGTTGCTGGAAATGGGAAATGAATTGGATTTATATATTGATCTACTACAGTGAATATAGAAAAGTGAAGCCACAGTACTAGTGATCTTGATCAAAGCATGATCTTAGCAAAGATTAAGATGGGGTGTGTGGAATTATGTGCGATGGTTGGTTTCAAAGTCTGGCAATGATGCACTTTCTTGGAGTGCTTCAGTCCCTTTCTATTGGCATGACTTTGGGTTTCGAGCTGTTGAGGTTTCCAGCATGGCTTTAATTTTGCCTTCATCCACCATGCGCTGAAAGTAGCTTGATGCCATCGCAAGTTGCCCCTTTCGCCGCGTAAGCAGGAACGATGAATTCCGCTGACATGGACACAGTGCAACAGCAGAAACAGGTGACGCAAAAGATTTCTCAGCCTCTTTCACACAGGCATCAATCACAGCTGTGTAAGTGACCTGCCCCATGACTGGTGGATGGTCTTCAAAGAATCATGGGCATTCAGGTCTAACTGAAGGACAAGTCCATGTTGATTTACAGCAAGATGTTGGGTTGCAAGCAAATTGTGATCAACTGACACCTTCGTGCGACTGACTGCTTGTCTCACTGCTGCAGTTGCGCATAAGCTGAAAACCAATGAATGGACTGGAATGGAAGTCTTTTTACAGTATCCAACCGACAGCCTTGTTGGGTTGAACAGAGGAAGCTTTCATCCTGAAGTTCAAGTGTCTCAACATTGACACACATACTCATGCAAGTCACCAAGTTGTTCAACAGTTCAACCATTTTCCGGGTCGACAGCTCTCTTTTCAGATCTACTCAGCTGTTCTATTCTCAGCTCAGTGTTCCACCTGTCCAGCCACAGGACAGCTTCATTGGAACTACCTCAGACTCGCAATTCTGACTGCACAATGTTCATAGATCCTTCAAATTCTTTAATCACACTGTCGAATCTGGCATTTTCTTTAATCATCTCAAATCATCCCCAAATCACATTTCTCTGTGTTTGCAAGCTGAGCTCACACATTTCTCTGTGTTGCAAGCTTGCTTTGGCAGCAGCATTGATGACCTGAGGCATAGCATCACAGCTGAAGGGGTGCCTTCAGCCGCTCTGTCCAAGATTCCGGCACAGTTGTAGGCTTTTGTGTCCGGGTGAATCCTGGTAGTGCTTGGCTTCACGCCCAATGCCAATCATTCCAAGCACTTCCTAGCGATATCTAAAGAGATGAATGTTTGACAAATTGGACCTCCCCTTTTTTCGCTGCATGCAATCCAAGTTTCTTCCGATCATACATGTCTTCAATCCAGTCTGCCTGAGGACTTGAAGTATATCGACGCTTGAACAGTGCTGGAAGCGCTTGAAAGACATGAACTAACAGCACAAACAGGTAGACGCATCCAAAAGTCTAAGCAAGTTGCAGCCTGATCAATGTCCCCTCTGCTGGCACAACCTTTGACAACGTGTCAAAAATGATCCAGCTTCAATTGAAAGTCTGGGCATGTCTGGGCAGTCAAACAACATGGACCTTACTTGTTGGAATAATTATGGTTCAGGCTGTCGATAACAGCTGTGTAGCACTCCACAGATGGTGCAAGTTCTTCTGCCTGAATCGGCTATAAAGTGTCATCGTTTTGTTGACATAGAATGAGACATAAGACATTCATTGAAACGTTTGAAATCTAAAGCACTCTCTCCAAACAAAAATCAACAAACCCTTAGCCCTGGGCTACCATTATTCTCAACCACTCTGCTGCTTGCTTTGGTTTGCTGCGCTTTGCACATCCATCAATCAATGAAGTGAATGTGACCTTGGCCAACAGCACGAAAAGTCTATGTCTATGCTGAAGTTGATGCAATACTTCACTGGAACAAATACGTAGACATAAAACAAAAAGGAAACAAACAAGTCTGGTCAGGAATGAAATAGGTGCACGTGTTGTACCAGCAGTCGCGTCAGGTCCTGTCTGGAGAGTCCTTCGTGAGCTACTGGCTTCATCTGGTTGAAACTTGCATTCGCGTAGCCTTGAACAATGATGCTAAGACTGCTAAGACTCTACTTTGCCTGTTGGACATGTTGGACCTTCTGAGGAAGAAACTTCTGAAGCCACTTCTTAGCTTCCTCACCGTGCCTGCGGGTGTTCAATGGTCCCGACATCTCCCAATCTTGCTAAACTGCACCAATATAAAATGTCTCAGTTTTTGCCTTGAACAAGCATGAATCACAGTGTTGAAGCACACCTGCAAGGGCAAAGTTTTTGGCTATTGTTTTGGATTTTTCGGAAATGTCACTGGCTATGGCACAAGTCCAAGTAAGGCTGCAACTAGACTTGGTTGCTGCCCGGACGCCAACATCTCTTCCCTTGGGCACATCTCTTTTTTTGCTCTGTTTGATGTCGCCCTTTAGGTCCTAATTAGCCTGTTTTGAGAGTCAGCAGAGGAATTTGTCATAATTATTTTGTCCGCAAATAGGGGTAAACCCCAAAATTCAATGGTTAGGATTGACGCACTCGCCTTTTTTGTGCTAAGCAGGGTTAGTTTGGTAGAAAAAGATTGTCTATGACAACCCAAACTACCCTCGGCCCTTGCTCTCGGAGCATGAAACACACTTATCACTCCGTAGCCATTTGTTGAGGTGTGAGAAAATTATTTACTTGTTCTCTTTATTCCAAGGCCCCTAGACTTCCAGGTTACTGGTGGCTCAACGTGGCTAACTGACTGCCAGTGAGCAATAAGTGCGCGCTGCAGAGCAGAGGGTGTCACTTTCATGTTGGAGAGGAGTGCAGTGGAGTCGTCGATATATTGCTTCATGACTCGTTCACTGGTCCAGCGGCCAGTATGCTGCACAATGTTATAAGAGTTGGTACTCATCCACATGTCTGTGGCACCTCCTCTGCACAAACTGTACGGTTTCAGGTTCAGCTCTTGAAGGCCACAGTCAACACCACCTGTTGGAAAGTGGTGCGAAATTTGGAATGACTGAAAGGAATAAGGGGGGTGTCCCAGGCGACCGTCTGTTGCCAATGAGCAAGCATTTGTCCCAAGATTACGTCTTTAATGTGAACAGTCCCCGAAGATGGGTTACGACTAGCGGTTTTGGTCAAACCGAGCCGAGCTAAAATTGCAGTTTTTTTTGAAGACGGTAATATCTCTACTGGTAATGTTCAAAAGTTTTCCTGTCCTGAGCAAACATTTGAAAGCCAGAAGGAGACCTAGGGCCGTGCGCGGCGACACAGCATGCATGCGACCAAGCACTATTTGGGCGTAGTCCAAGTGAATGGTGTCGCACGTGCTGGCAGCTCATAGAGCTGCCAGGTCTTCAACATTTTCCAAGCTTGGTTGATGTTTCGTTTTGCGCTTGGCTGAAAAAACTAGATGGCTGACAAGGTGTCCCCCGCCAGCGACAAGGACTCGCCGTCCTTCCATAAGAAGTCTAAATATCAACCAGTTGTTTTTTCCAATCCAGATTTAGTGAATGCAATATCCGCACCTTGATAATGGAGGAATGAAATGAAAGATTGAAATGCTTTGTGATACCGCGTGATGGTCGCCCGTCGTAAGACTAGGGACTTTAGAGGACCAAGAGTGGCTCGTCTCTTCTTACGTTCGGATTTTTCCAGGCCCTCTACGATTTGACTTCTCCCCATTTTTTAAATGGGAGCGCCTGGAAGGCGCGTCGGCTGGCTTACCCTTAGAAGCTGTATATCCTAACGTAAGAAGGAGCCCTCCAACCAATTGTAGCCCTGCAATTCGCTTGCACACTGAGCGCAGTTTGCGGCTCGACGTGCGTCCCTTGCTAATGACTTGCAAAGATACAAGACTATCAACTAAATGGAGTATGTTGGTCCGGAATCCCTTGTGCCTACACAAACGCCAGCGCAGAGCGGTATCAATCGATCTCATTCAAGCCGGTTTATGTGCTCCCCGACCGAACCTCCTCTGGGCCGCCAGGACCATCCAGCGAGAACCTGCCATCGCCAAAGCTTGGGGTTCAAGGAGTTCCTCAGGCGGTGGTAGTGCGGCAAATTTTCCGTTGGATTGCTCAACATGACGTCAGCACCCTTTGGTGAAACCAAATGAAAAAGTTTCTTCGCCAGGGTTAGCTGCGTTTTCGGGTCTTGAGAGATTTTCTTAGGGATAGAGGATCTCAGCTTTGGTTGGAGAAGCAGAGTTGCCATGTCAGCGGATCCGGCGGGTTTACATTTATTCATCATATTGGAAACCGTACATGGAGGAATCAACCCTAGTTCACAACAAAGGAGCTGTAAGAAGTTGCAAACCACGCCAACGTGCAATGCGTTTCCAATCAGGGTCATCCTGGTATCATTGGTCTCCAGAGGATGACTCTGGCGATATCCGTTGGGATGACATTGAAAAGTATAATCCACAGGGAAACCCATGACGGTTTCTTTTTCGCTGATGTCCAACATGCACCATCCTTTCTTGGGATGGGGCACACCATTTTCGAACTTGTATGCGTAAGGGGGAAATCGCAACCTATCTTGGTGCCAGGCTTCCAAGTCCTTTTCAATGGCTTGAGCCACACCTGCCGGTTTAAACCAAGGTGTTTTTGAAGGCTGAGCCGTGGTAAAGGTAGCAAACGGCCCCTTTCCTGCAGGCTTCCAGCCGGGCCGGAGATAGTCTTGATATTGGGCATCAAAATGGAATCTGATCTCCCCCCATTCTAACGACGATGCCGATAGAGGGGGAAAAACATCAATGTTTTCACCAGATGGAATGACCCAATTAAACCATCACAGGCGAGGTCTTCTACAAAGTGCGAGATAGGCAGCATCAACTTTGTAAGGCAATACCCCTGAGGACTTGGTGTATATTTCCCGATCGTGGTCGGCCATCGAGGCCACGCTTTCCATAAGAAAGTACCTGGGGCACCATGGGAAAAACCTCGGGCAACCACCCTTTGATTTTGTCAAACTCTTTATGTAAGGAAGATCTCGGGTCTGCCTGTGCCCCAAGCTTCGATGCGATGCGTTCAGCCTTGAACCCCCTTGACATGGTGGTCTTCCGGCCAACAAGACAGCCTTACAGTTGGGGAATTTGGCCGCCACTTCTCATAGCTTGTCTTTATTGATTTGGGTGATGCCACTAAAATGGAGGGAACAAGGAAAATGACTTTCAAGTACCCTTCGTGCTGCGGGGTTACTTTCAATAGCTACATACCCTGCCAAGGGAACCTTGAGGGCGTCCAGAGCAACCCGCAGCGATCCAATTCCATCGAGTGCTGAAGTCACTAACAGGCCCTGATCCTGGATTTTTTCCCATTCTACTCCCCTGATAGAGCCCCCTGCTACCTTTGCACCCCATTCAGTCACTCCCACTGAGGCGACCAAGCCACCACCAGTCTCGGACGCATCCGACGCGGTGACTATAGGATCTGTCGGCAATCTGAAATCCATGAAGGAAAAGACTGACAGAAAGAAGTACGCCCACAATTCCTGGGCGACAGGGGCCGGCAGAGGCTTGTATTGTTTATCATTGGAGAAACTTGTGATGAACCCCCAATTTCATTGAGGTTTGCCACATCAGCGGTTGTTTTCGAAACGGAAACATGTAAACCAGCCCCCTGCCAACATCTGCATTTGCTTTTAGGAAACTTTTCGAGTTTGAAGGACATGAGTCAAGGCCGTCAAGTATTTACCAACCTTGTCAACCTTGGGACTACATATCCCTTTGTTGCCATCAATCCAGGGTGCCGAATCTCGCCGGAGATTTTTTTTGATCTGTTCTGTTTTCCGTCCCCTGCATCTATCCTGCCACTTCCCTTCCATGCTGCATGCTATTTGCAGCATTTTGGAGCTGGAACCTTTCATTTTGCGTGTTATTTGAAGCATTTTGGAACTGAACCTTCCATGCTGCATGCAGTTTGCAGCATTTTGGCGCTGGAACTTTTTATTTTGCATGCTATTTGCCACATTTGGGCGCAGGAACCTTCATGCTATTTGCCGCATTTGCGTGCAGGAACCTTTCAGTTTGCGTGCTATTTGTAGAATTTGGGAGCTGGAACCTTCTATGTTCTTGTATTTGTTGTTGTTACGCTTGTTGCTGTTATGTTTGTGGTTGTGCTGTCTGTTGTTGTTGTTGTTATTGTTGTTGTTATTGTTGTGATGATTGTTGTTGTGATGCTTGCTGTTGTGATGCTTGCTGTTGTGATCGTTGTTGCTATTGTGTTTATTGTTGTTATGGTTGTTGTTGCTGTTGTTGTGATATGCGCAAATAAATAGCCACAAAATATGTATCTAAATGACTACCTGTACATATGTATATATACATACCTGGATCGCCAAAGTTGCAGGTTTTTCTTTGCAACTTTTGAATTTCACATCACTTTGGTTCTTTTCCATGGTATAACATTTATTATGATCACTGCCATCTAGACATATCACTTTCCCATTCTGGGTATCCTAGCAGCAACCATCACCACCGACCCGCCACGGCAGCAATATTTTCAGTGGTACAGTGGTACAGTGGTACAGTTGCTGGTTGCCTGGCTGGCTGCCTGGCTGGCTGGCTTGCTGGCTTGCTTGCTTGCTTGCTTGCTCGCTGGCTCCCTTGCTTGCTTGCTGGCTGGCTGGCTGGCTTGCTGGCTTGCTGGCTTGCTGGCTTGCTGGCTTGCTGGCTTGCTGGCTTGCTGGCTGGCTGGCTGGCTGGCTGGCTTGCTTGCTTGCTTGCTTGCTTGCTTGCTTTGCTGGCTGGCCCCCTTGCTTGCTTGCTGGCTGGCTGGCTGGCTTGCTTGCTTGGTTTGCTCGCTGGCTCCCTTGCTTGCTTGCTTGCTTGCTGGCTGGGTGGCTGGCTTGCTTGCTTGCTTGCTCGCTGGCTCCCTTCTTTGCTTGCTTGCTTGCTTGCTCGCTGGCCGGCTTGCTTGCTTGCTTGCTGCCTTGCTTCCCTGGCACGCCAGTCTGCGAGAACTTAGCCGGGAAAAAAAAAACGGGGAGGGGGAAAAAAAAATCCCCTAAAAATAAGGTACCTCAATCCAGGCACCTTGCATCTCGGCTGCCTGAGCTGCCTCTACCGCCTTCTTTTCATGCCGAGGAATCCCCAATTCAGACTATGTGTCCCGGAGCTTTTCCATCAAGGAACCATGCTCTGAGGACAATATGCCCTTGGATTGAACTGACAATAAGTCAAAATTGTCTAAACAAATTCGAAAATACAGCAGGCTGGATGGGAGTTCCCGATCCCTACGAACTTCATGAGCGAAGTTCAGGGTCGAGCCAAAGGCTTGGGAGATCACCCGCCTATGTATCTGTGCCACCGACACGCTATTTATGAACCCCATAATTAAACTTTGCTGTGCAGGATGAAATCCTCCGTGGCACCTTGAGGACGCATTTCCCGGGGTATTGGTCTTGAAAAACCAAGAAACTGTCGCCATCCTTCCGGGACCCCTATATGATGTAAAACATCGCCCGCACATCTTCGGAAGAAATTACTAACCCTTCGGATGGGTGACCTTCAAGTTGGACCATTTGCGACAGCACCGGTAAGGTGCTTAGGTCTCCACCCAGCGGGAGGAAGTTTTCATTAATCGGCCGCAGGTCCATGATTAAACGAAGAACTTCTACCCCTTGTGAGGTGAAGACACTCTTTGGTACCCCAAAAAGTTCCCCCAGCACAGGTTGGCCCCCAACACAGAAAGCTTCTGAGAGGGGCATTATGCCGCAAACATTTCGGGCGAGGAGTCCTTGAACGACCTCCTTCCGACCATCTGGGGGAACTTGGACCCGAGGAGGCTTGAGCCAAACCCTTGACTCCAAAGGCTTCAGCCGCCTTTCGGGATGCATGATAAAATCTCTGAAGCCATCTAAGCACACATCTGCGGCGGGCAGAATTCCTGCCAACCCTTCCGCAGGCAGGCTATGTTCTCCCATCGAACAGACTTTGAAACATGCACTTCTTCCCCATATGAATTTATCCATCTCTGACGGAAAAAATCATCCGGGTCAAACTCTTTAAATTCCAACACCCCCCAGCTATCCAACAAGACTAGACTCCTTCGGATCTCATCCAACAGTCGGGTGGGGGGGAGTTTCCCAGGTGAAAAGAAAAATAAAACATCCAGTTGAAAGATCGTATCACCCCCTCCTCCCAGGTCTTCAATGCACCGTTGCCCCTCATGGTCAACAGGCAAAGGGAGCGGAAATATCGAATCCCCTCCAAGCTGGAACACCGCTTAGACCCTTTACAAATACCTACGACTTTGGGGGAGGTGATCAAAAACCTGTTTTGCTAACCCCTCCAGGGTTGCTACCCGTGGCCCAGACTTTGTTTTTGAGTTTCCGCAGCCGCCGCGTCGACATCGCCAATCGAAGCAACGCCATGGCTCGGACACTCAAGAAGAGGAACCTTCACGGGGGCCTGGCCACCCATGGCCTCTGAATCACCTCTGCAAGGCATGGAGATCAACTCCTGAGAAGAGGATTGTGTCATTTCTAGTTGAATTTGAGCTGCCAGCATGCTTTGCCTCATGAGCTCCTCCACATCTGCCTCATCAGGCAGGCTCGGACCCCGTCCTCTTGCCCTTTAGCGCCAGTGGGGAGGCTTCCTTCGGTCCCAGGAGCCCTTCCCTACAGCCGAATTTCCTTTCAATTGTCTTTGAAGCTTGGATTCCGCCGTGTACTGTTGCTGGGCATACCGAGCTTCGGAATCGGCTACCATCCCCAAGTGATCTCGCGGAAGAAGCTCTAGTTGCAGGGCAAGATTTGGGTCTGAACCTTGTTGTATCAGCTCGAGGCTCTTGAGCCTTTGGTTGGCAACGTCGGCTGCCGTCAAGATGTCTCCCTCTATCAATGTGTCCAACCGCATTGAGAGGGTCAACATCTCGTGCTGTAGCCCTCTCGACCCGCCGCGTGGGGCAATTACCTGACGGTAATACCGGTGAAAATTCTTTAAGCCCTGAGGGCTCTCGCATGTAGCGTCTGCCAGGCTTCTCTTTGCCTCTTTTGTTGAAGCTCTGCAAAGATACCCGGGGAGCCTCTTTGAAGTCGATGCTCCGTCCCTAGACCCTCTTCCGATGAGCAGTTGGAACTCGAAGCCTCGCTGCTGGGGCTGCTCGAGCTGCTCTGTTTTTTCTTTACCTTCAACTCTACGGGCTTCTTGAAGATAGGGTTCAGCGGAGTGCCTTTGCAACTCCAGCAAGAGGCTTCTACCATCTTCTTTACCTTCTGCTTTCCTCGATTCTCGCGGGATTCCCTCCTCCTCTGGCCTCTGACCTCCCCTAAAGGAGCTGCTGTGTGAGCTCCTAACCGGGGATCGGCCAGACCTGCTTCCCGTGCCCCTTTCGGAAGATCTTCCTTCTCGTCGACGGGAGGGACCTTGTCTTGACAATTATGTCCATCCAGGGGAGGCGATCCGCAGGAGTTACTTCTCTGTACGAAAGTAAGTACAGTAACCTATACCCGGAGTGCTCACCCTCTGCGCGGCAGGACATTCCTCGATTGACAAATAAAGGATGGGATCGGATCTCAGACCGTTGATGAGGAAACTGCGCAGCTGGTGTACCTGAGTTCCTGCCACAATCACTCCGATCCATTTCCCTTCCACGTCCGTTGTGTCCTCCTTGATGATGCCGTGTAATAGGCCCTCCTCCCCGCCATACCAAATCTTTTTGCTAAAATTGTCTGACCAATCTTCAGATCTTTGTTCTTGACCTCCGATAGTTCGATCCATGCAGCTGGATCCTTTTCCTCAAGAGGGAGTTGAGAGGATGCCGGACGTCTCAGTCTCCTTCCCCCTGCCTTGGGTTTTGCTTTAGCTTTTGGGCCCCGCAGTACCCTCAGCCGAGGCGCTAGTAGGCTACAGCCGCCGGCCGGTGCAGGGCCTTCGGTGGCACCCGCCCAGCTAGCGACGCGCTGCGAGCCCTCTTTGCTCGCAGAAGAAACTTCAGGAGCCACTTGAGCAGTCTCCTCTGAAGCTTCTTGAACAATAACTGTTCCAGGCGGAAGGAGAGGCGGTTCAGCACGAGTCGCTGGAGTCCCAACTGAGATGCTATCACTCTCCTCCTTTTCCTCAGGTGGACGGGCCCCAGAGGATTTGGCCTTCGCCTTTGCTCTCCTCTCCTCTATTTCCTTCATCTCGGGTTTTCCCCTTATTCTTTCGGGGCTTGTCCGCAGTGTTCGGTTGGGGATAACTCCAGTAGGGATCCCAAGTCCACCACTGCCCCCAGTACTCGGAAGGCTTTCCTTTGGAGGAGCCCTTTTTTGTCTTACCTCCCCCTTTGCCTTTTCCTTCTCCTTTTCGGTTGAGGAGCTTTCCCACTCCTTAGGTGCGCCGGACGCTTCGGGCCCTTTTTGACGAGGACTAGCTCGAGGAGGGGACGGAAGCTCTGGCACGGCTGCTGAAGCCCGTGCTCCCAAGGGGAGTGAGGACGCCTCCTATCCTCCCTGTAACGTGGAGGAGACGGGCTAGTTTCCCTCTTTGGAGAGGGGCTTCGATTCGATCGACGCCGCCTTTGACCTCGGGATCTATCTGTTGTTCGCTTACGCCTGCTGTGGTCCTGTTCTTTCACTGAGGGCTCAGGGGTTGTATCGGCCCCGGCCTCTCTAGGTTCACCTCCTTTGCTCCAAGCAGGAGATGACCCGAATGAACTCCTTCCGCCCGAAGGGACGAGGAGCACCTGGTTTCCCAGGATTTCGGCCACTGGCCACAAGTATTGTCGAAATCACTTTCGTCAAAACCAGCCTGTCCGGGAAGCTGTGATACCAACAAGCAAAGTCGGCACAACCGGCAGGCTCTGTCCCTTTCTGCAGTCCACCGCTTGCAGTGGACGCAGAGGGTCATCAGAAGCAAAGCCACGCTGTGAGCAAAAAAGGGCCGAGCGTAAATCCTAAAACTGGAAACCAGGAACTTTATCGTCGTTTCCACCGGTACAGTAAAATCTACAATAATAGATTACACTATATAGTATAAGATGTATACGCCCAAGCGGTATCCCTAAACAGCAAAGGCGGTACCCGGTAAAGAGTAACAGCGGCCAGAGTACACCTATGAAGTTTCAACCCTGGCCTTCGGAAAGCCATCCCGGAACCCGCAACTGAACCCACACCGGAACCACCTCACCGGAAACACCTCGGAACCTGCACCAAAATCTCTAGAACCATCCGGAAACAATCCCGAAACCGACACCGGAACCCATATACCAGAACCAACACATCCTTGGAAGCACCACACCCGAAATTGCACCTGGGCTGAGACCCCTAAGCCCACGCTGTTGGGGAAAATAGCCACAGATGGCTCAAAAAGAGGTATGGATCGTTCCACGGTGATCCAGACTATGGAACGAGTGAGTTAAGTATAAGAGGTGTGATCCCGGACCTACTGAGAAGGTATACTAAAGTGGCCTGGTATAAGTACAACTTGTCATTTTTGGTTATGGATCAAGGGTATGGACTTGGGGTATGGGTATGGAACGGTATGGATTATATCCCTTCGAGATGTGTATGAATCATGGATCGGGGCCTCACATTTTGAGCCCCAGCCATATGACAGGAGTGAGTCACTGAATGAGGCGAAGTTGTGCTGACGTATCCAGGAAGCCCTGCAAGTGTGCCACCGCCCCAGCTCTGTCACCTTCGGTCTGCTGAATATCGCTACCCAATGCGCTGGATGAGATCAAGGCCGGGTCAGCTGAGAAATGCTGTCTTTTGCAACGTCTTCATATATAACAGAATTAATATATTTGTCATATACAATGACATAATCAATATTAATCAGTCATAATATATATATGTGGGATGCCAATGGACGCCATATAATATCATATAACATAATTATATACACACATGGAATATAGAGTCTAGAGTTATGAGGTCGCAGAAGAACGAAAACAAAAGTATACAAAAGTAACATTAGCATGTTGGATCATGTTGGCAGAGATCCGGACGGTTTCTGGCCGCAGATGAGATCAAGGACGCATATGTCAACCTGTGCATTCTACGACATAGAAACGGGACTTTCCGATTTGGCTGTAGGGGATTCTTGGGAACACTTTGACACTTGCAAGTCCCCAAGCGTCTGAGTCTGCAAGAGCAAAGCCTACAACTACATTTACATGTCAGCTCCAAATGAAACTTGCATCACATTTGCAAGTTTGACGGGCACGCTGCAAGAATCCGTGAGTTGGGGAGCCAGCTCGGTTGGCTGCAAGTTCGCATCTTGTATGAGCTTTTGCCACCTTACAGCCCCTTCCTTGGTGATACCCGAGCTGACACGGTGGTACGGTGATTGTGAGCTCAGCACGACCAAGCATTGCCCGAGGGAAATCAGCCACGCTAAGCCACTGACCACATCGCCAACTTTTGCAAATGAATCCAAAACGGCATTGTAGGTTATCCTTTGCAGCAACATGACGGTAGTCTTGCAGATACTCTATCTGCAATATCCTGCAATATTTATGGCATTTTATGGCACAAGTAATCAGCTGGGCATCCAGCACGTTTGGAGAAACTGAGGCGCCAGTCATTTGACCGAACCTGGAAGCAGATTAAGCAGATGAGATGGGTTTCTTATGTTTCTTCTTTAGGGCATTAAGGAACTGAAGAGGCGCACCAGTATTCTGCTCGGGATGGATTTCCTGCAACAGCCTTGCCAATCAACCGCTTAGCAAACACGTTGGAATACCATGGTGACCACGGTGAAAAACAGCATGTCACTGGTTTGTCTGAAAATAAAGCACCCGAAAACCCCGCCCATGCTTCAGAAAATCATGATCTCCATCTTTCAGTGGCCATATTTGGAGATAAATCCCTCATTTTGAGACAAACCCTTTAAAAGAAAAAACATGTCACGGGCACCATCAACTAAGGGTGCAGCGCAGCTATTGACCAGAGAGGTATAGCATAGCCTTATCTTTACTATCTTGAACAGGTTGCTGCATGGCTTTGTTCATTTTGATGGGGTGAATAAAGGGGGTGATGATAAACCACTCGTTGATAGGGGGCAATTGTCTCATGTTCAGATCTATACCTTTAGTATTTAAAAGGCCAATCTACCTATATAACCTATATACATCTTAGCGTACCCCCATCAAAATGAACGAAGCCACAAGTCGATTCCCGATTCCCTTTCACAGCTCTGCTTGGCTTAGATTCCAGCACAGAGGGCCTTGGCAGCATCAAGGTCGATGGGAAAACTGGACCAACATCTCCCGACTAGCTTGGTTTTGTGGGTTTTAAGGGGCACAGCTTAGATGACATCTGTTAGATGACATCTGTTAGATGACATCTGTTAGATGACATCTGTTAGATGACATCTGTTGGATGACATCTGTTAGATGACATCTGTTAGATGACATCTGTTAGATGACATCTGTTAGATGACATCTGTTAGATGGCATCTGTTAGATGACATCTGTTAGATGACATCTGTTAGATGACACCTGATAGATGGCACCTGTTAGATGACATCTGTTAGATGACATCTGTTAGATGACATCTGTTAGATGACATCTGTTAGATGACATCTGTTAGATGACATCTGTTACATGACATCTGTTAGATGGCATCTGTTAGATGGCATCTGTTAGATGGCATCTGTTAGATGCAATCTGTTAGTTACAACCTGTTAGATGCAATCTGTTAGATGAAATCTGCTAGATGACATCTGTTAGATGACATCTGTTAGATGACACCTGTTAGATGACATCTGTTAGATGGCACCTGTTAGATGACACCTGTTAGATGACACCTGTTAGATGACACCTGTTAGATGACACCTGTTAGGTGACACCTGTTAGATCACATCTGTTAGATGACAGCTGCTAGATGACACCTGTTAGGTGACATCTGTTAGGTACATCTGTTAGATGACATCTGTTAGATGACATCTGTTAGATGACATCTGTTAGATGACACCTGTTAGATGACACCTGTTAGAAGACATCTGTTAGATGACATCTGTCAGATGACATCTGTTAGATGACATCTGTTAGATGACATCTGTTAGATGACATCTGTCAGATGACATCTGTTAGATGACATCTGTTAGATGACATCTGTTAGGTGACATCTGTTAGATGACATCTGTTAGATGACATCTGTTAGATGACATCTGTTAGATGACACCTGTTAGATGACATCTGTTAGATGGCATCTGTTAGATGACATCTGTTAGATGACACCTGTTAGATGACACCTGTTAGAAGACATCTGTTAGATGACATCTGTCAGATGACATCTGTTAGATGACATCTGTTAGGTGACATCTGTTAGGTGACATCTGTTAGATGACATCTGTTAGATGACATCTGTTAGATGACATCTGTTAGATGACATCTGTTAGATGACATCTGTTAGATGACATCTGTTAGATGACATCTTCTAGATGACATCTGTTAGATGGCATCTGTTAGATGACATCTGTTAGATGGCATCTGTTAGATGACATCTGTTAGATGACATCTGTTAGATGACATCTGTTAGATGACATCTGTTAGATGACATCTGTTAGATGACATCTGTTAGATGACATCTGTTGCCTGACATCTGTTGCCTGGCATCTGTTAGCTGACATCTGTTGCCTGACATCTGTTAGCTGACACCTGTTAGCTGACATCTGTTAGCTGACATCTGTTAGCTGGCATCTGTTAGCTGGCATCTGTTAGCTGGCATCTGTTAGATGGCATCTGTTAGCTGGCATCTGTTAGCTGACATCTGTTGCTTGACATCTGTTAGCTGACATCTGTTAGCTGACATCTGTTAGCTGACATCTGTTAGCTGACATCTGTTAGCTGACATCTGTTAGCTGGCATCTGTTGGCTGACATCTGTTGCTTGACATCTGTTAGCTGACATCTGTTAGCTGACATCTGTTAGCTGACATCTGTTAGCTGACACCTGTTAGCTGACATCTGTTAGCTGACATCTGTTAGGTGACATCTGTTAGGTGACATCTGTTAGGTGAGTTAGGTGACATCTGTTAGATGACATCTGTTAGGTGACATCTGTTAGATGACATCTGTTAGATGACAGCTGTTAGATGGCATCTGCTAGATGACAGCTGTAAGATGACAGCTGTTAGGTGACAGCTGTTAGATGACACCTGCTAGATGGCACCTGTTAGATGACATCTGCTAGATGACACCTGTTAGATGACACCTGTTAGATGACACCTGTTAGATGACACCTGTTAGATGACACCTGTTAGATGACATCTGTTAGGTGGCACCTGTTGGGTGACACCTGTTGGGTGACACCTGTTGGGTGACACCTGTTGGGTGACACCTGTTGGATGACATCTGTTGGATGACATCTGTTGGATGACATCTGTTGGATGACATCTGTTAGATGACATCTGTTAGATGACATCTGTTAGATGGCATCTGTTAGATGACATCTGTTAGGTGGCATCTGTTAGATGACATCTGTTGGATGACATCTGTTAGAGGACATCTGTTAGGTGACATCTGTTAGATGACATCTGTTAGATGACATCTGTTACATGACATCTGTTAGATGACATCTGTTAGATGACATCTGTGAGATGGCATCTGTGAGATGGCATCTGTTAGATGACATCTGTTAGATGGCATCTGTTAGAGGACATCTGTTAGATGACATCTGTTAGATGACATCTGTTAGATGACATCTGTTAGATGACATCTGTTAGATGACATCTGTTTGGTGACACCTGTTAGGTGACACCTGTTAAGTGACACCTGTTAGGTGACACCTGTTAGGTGACACCTGTTAGGTGACACCTGTGAGGTGACACCTGTGAGGTGACACCTGTTAGGTGGCACCTGTTGGGTGACACCTGTTGGGTGACACCTGTTGGGTGACACCTGTTGGGTGACATCTGTTGGGTGACACCTGTTGGGTGACACCTGTTGGGTGACATCTGTTGGGTGACATCTGTTGGATGACATCTGTTAGATGACATCTGTTGGATGACATCTGTTGGATGACATCTGTTAGATGACATCTGTTAGGTGACATCTGTTAGATGACATCTGTTAGATGACATCTGTTAGATGACATCTGTTAGATGACATCTGTTAGATGACATCTGTTAGATGGTTACATCATCTGTTAGATGACATCTGTTAGATGACATCTGTTATCTGATGGCATCTGTTATCTGTTAGATGACATCTGTTAGATGACATCTGTTAGATGACATCTGTTAGATGACATCTGTTGGACATCTGTTGGATGACATCTGTTGGATGACATCTGTTGGATGACATCTGTTGGATGACATCTGTTAGATGACATCTGTTAGATGACATCTGTTGGATGACATCTGTTGATGACATCTGTTAGATGACATCTGTTAGATGACATCTGTTAGATGACATCTGTTAGCTGGCATCTGTTACCTGACATCTGTTAGATGACATCTGTTGGATGACATCTGTTAGATGACATCTGTTAGATGACATCTGTTAGATGACATCTGTTAGATGACACCTGTTAGATGACATCTGATGACATCTGTTAGATGACATCTGTTAGATGGCATCTGTTACATCTGTTAGATGACATCTGTTAGATGACATCTGTTAGATGACATCTGTTAGATGACATCTGTTAGATGACATCTGTTAGATGACACTGTTAGATGACACCTGTTAGATGACACCTGTTAGATGACACCTGTTAGATGACACCTGTTAGATGACACCTGTTAGATGACACCTGTTAGATGACACCTGTTAGATGACACCTGTTAGATGACACCTGTTAGATGACACCTGTTAGATGACACCTGTTAGATGACACCTGTTAGATGACACCTGTTAGATGACACCTGTTAGATGACACCTGTTAGATGACATCTGTTAGATGACACCTGTTAGATGACACCTGTTAGATGACACCTGTTAGATGGCACCTGTTAGATGACATCTGTTAGATGACATCTGTTAGATGACATCTGTTAGAAGACATCTGTTAGGTGGCATCTGTTAGATGGCATCTGTTAGATGACATCTGTTAGATGGCATCTGTTAGATGGCATCTGTTAGATGACATCTGTTAGATGACATCTGTTAGATGACATCTGTTAGATGACATCTGTTAGATGACACCTGTTAGATGACATCTGTTAGATGACATCTGCTAGATGACATCTGTTAGATGACATCTGTTAGATGACATCTGTTAGAGACATCTGTTAGATGACATCTGTTAGATGACACCTGTTAGATGACATCTGTTAGATGACATCTGTTAGATGGCATCTGTTAGATGACATCTGTTAGATGACATCTGTTAGATGACATCGGGTAGATGGCATCTGTTAGATGACATCTGTTAGATGACATCTGTTAGATGACATCTGTTAGATGACATCTGTTAGATGACATCTGTTAGGTGACATCTGTTAGATGACATCTGTTAGATGACATCTGTTAGGTGACATCTGTTAGATGACATCTGGTAGGTGACATCTGGTAGGTGACATCTGTTAGGTGACATCTGTTAGGTGACATCTGTTAGGTGACATCTGTTAGGTGACATCTGTTAGGTGACATCTGTTAGGTGACATCTGTTAGTTAGATGTCATCTGTTAGGTGACATCTGTTAGGTGACATCTGTTAGGTGACATCTGTTAGGTGACATCTGTTAGTTAGATGTCATCTGTTAGGTGACATCTGTTAGTTAGATGACATCTGTTAGTTAGATGACATCTGTTAGATGAAACCTGTTAGATGACACCTGTTAGATGACACCTGTTAGATGACATCTGTTAGATGACATCTGTTAGATGACATCTGTTAGATGACATCTGTTAGATGACATCTCCAAGATGACATCTGTTAGATGACATCTGTTAGATGACATCTGTTAGATGACATCTGTTAGATGACATCTGTTAGATGACATCTGTTAGATGACATCTG